AAGTACCACATTGCAAGAGCATTAAAGTTTGGACAACAAAGATTATCAATCGATTATATTGTTAATAAAAAGTGAAATCAATTTCATTCCCAAAATCATACCCTTTGACAAGGTGGTGGCTTAAATAGTTCAACTTCTCAAATATACATTACACAAACTAGGTCGAAGGGGGATCTAAGGAGATGCGCATCCTCATATCACAGATATAGATATGTATAACTCTAATAAAAAACGATGTGCTTCCGTGTACAAAGAGTTTATGTGGGTGCATGTGACAGAACCGCCTAATCTAATGCCCTCTCAAGAGTACTTGTCTTCCATTAGACACTAAGTACCTAAGAGTGCACTAAATCGTGTCGTTCCGTCGAGCACACCCCAAGGGGGGAACTCGAACATCCACATTTTTTCGTCAGGATCATAAATAAGAGAATAAAGCTTACAACATTCTTAATCATTTCTTACATCACTTTATTACAACATTAGAGTATTTAAACAAGATGAACGCAATAGCGGAATTAAGACAATTTTACATGTAAATGAGTTGATACATTTTAGGTTTATATTTTTATCTTGCAGCGGAGAACAACATATGATCAAAGTTACAGCGAAAATAAAGATTAATGGTGAATCATTATCATAGTGAACATTTATAAACCAGATATGATGGCAAATTATAAAACTTTTCTTCTAAAAACTTTTAGTGAGGGTTATAAAGAAACACTACGACCGTAGCGCGAAAAGAATCCTTTCTAAGCCCACCAGATGGTTTGCACACACAAGAGTCAGCTCTAGCATCCACCTGTCACCTGCAACAAGGGGAATAACCCTGAGTACTCGATTGTACTCAGCAAGACTTACCCGATAGAGGAAAATAAAAGACTCCAAGGATATGCTAGGCTTATTTGGCTTGTGGGTTATTACGTCGGTGGAAGCATTACTAAACGTGCGTCCTTATATTCACTTTTATTAGCAGTTATCATTAGTTCATTAACTAACCATTCTATGTAAGCACCTATGCTACTTTCAAGCAAGTGGTAAGCAATCAAAACCATTTTACCATCTTTCATATTCCAGTTCTTACTATGGTGCTAGACCATAGCCAAGTCATACCGTCTCATAGAAACGGTGAGTCACGAATCAATGTATCCCAGCTGGGTACCCTGAAACACATGCCTCGCTTGTACCCTAGGCACAAACAAGACCAACCCATTCCGCTCTGTCAAGGGGTCCAGTCCCCATCCAAACTTGGACTTCAAGTTTCAACACCGAGACCCGGTCTCAAGATGGTGCTTAGACCTTCACCTTTCCTGTCTCTAATCAGTCGGACTAAAAAGAGCCGGAACCCACAACAAGAGCGTAACGAGACTTCCCACTCTCATATGCAAGTATGTGCTCAGGATAATAAGTCTGTGACTCGACTACCATCCACAAAGAATCGGACGGTCCTCAATCAACACAAAGCGGAACAAATGCAACCCGAGCCTCGCTCGAATGCCTAACCAAGTCTAGATCCAAAGTATCATTCCGCCCGGTCTCCAATTATCATCCATATATATTCCATGTGATAGTTATATGATAATAAGAACAATAATATATTTCCTATCTCTCATGAGTGATGTGTAATCACTGACTTCTACCGGATCCTATAGCAGAGCCACTACACGATCCGCCATACTAGTAAGACTCATAGGATAAGTATATATATATATATGCAAGTGGTTTTCATTCAACTCCTTAAAACTTAATGCACAAGCATAAAATAAAGTGTGGAATAATAGGGGTTATGCACCGCGCTTGCACAGGTAAGATATAACCAAAAGTTAGCATTCCATCATGGTGACACGATCATCCGGGCACCATCTTTTTCGCTTCTCGGTCATCTCCATGATCCATCGTTGTTTAGCGAGCTTGCCCGTGGTGATGGTTCGGTCGAGGCGGCGCGTCGAGGGCTGGCCACACATGATCGAAAGCGTAGGGGCGGAGCTTCACGATGGACACCAAGGCCACACCACCAACGATGAGCACCCCCCAATCCACATACTGCGGTGGCACCCCATGGGCCATGAGCAAAACCTGAAATTGGCCACGGCTGCACCACCATTGGACCCGACGAGAGTGGGGGCGCCTAGGTAACTCTCCATAGTACTCACCGATAAAAGGAATTGGGCTAGGAGGGTTTGAGTTGGTGATTATTAAGGGGGGAGGGCGGCGCATCACCACTGCTACATCACGCGATGCGGCCCCAGCAGAGGTGACCCGGCCACGACTTGATAGGGTATGACAACTCGGGGACATGGCTGCACGAGCGAGGGCAGGAGGCGTGTCGGTTAGTGCTTAGACGGAGCCAAGAGGGTGCCAAAGACGCGAGCAATTGAATGCGATGAGTCGGCCCGAGTGGCTCATCGGCGCCGGCTGAAGCGAGACAGGCAGCAGTGGAGGCGCCACCGTCACCCTCGTAGATGGGATCGGTTGACCCAGACGCGGCGACACGGACCCACGGTAGGTGAATCGTAGGGCAGGGCGACTGCCACGTGAGTGGCAATGATGGCCACAGCCTCGGCTGGCTCGACAACGATGGTCGTGGCTGGCTCGGCCTGTCGCGTAGCATGGGGCGACAACTAGATGACCACTGGCAAGGCCACGCGTGATGTGGTGCGCGCGTGCGGCGGTGGGTGCACCAATGCGTGACGTCGCACCCGAGTGTGGTGACCACGCACACCCAGCTAGCCAACCCGAGGCGATGTCGTGCACAGATCTTAAAGCATAAAAATCAACCTATTAGAGCTCGGTTGAGATTAAAACAAAAGCTCAAGACTCTAGTAGCCTAAGGGCTTCGTATCCAGGCAACAAGCACGGCCGGAGGGTGACCAGCGAGGGAGATAGAGAGGTGCCAACGTGGGTTCGTCACGCTGAGCGCTGGCCCATGAATGGAGCGCTAACAGCGTGGACACAGCGCATTCTAAGAAAGTTCGAGCCAATTTAAAATGAGCAAAGTGACATTCATCACCACTTCGACCTACACCCTAATCAAGTGCTCACTTAGAGGCAACCAACAACACCAAATCATGAAACTAGTGTTTTACGTATTTTAGTTAGAACTCAAATGCCAAAATAGCATTGTCCAATACTCTTTTTCGACTTAGAAAAGGCAAGGGTTCAATTGGACTTAACATCCATGAACACTTGTTGCCACAATTTTTAAGAGGTCTATACCTTATTAACTTCAACCAAGAATTACTACATGCGATAGCCCATACTTTACACTAAACCATAGGAACAAAATACTTAAGCACTATTTAACTATTTTACTCAATATAATTCGCCAAAAATGACATTTTAAACATAAGTTCAAATTCTTGCCGATTCAACGAAAAGGCTGATTTTTAGTTTCAGATTCGATTTTTGAGCTCTCAAGAACACTAGTTAACAATATTTGTTTTCAAAAATTAAAGTTGCATTTTCAACTACACCACTTGCTCATCATCTTTACTTAAGTACTACACACAAGTTATATTTTATTTTTGTTTATATAAATTGTTTTTCGTGCCAAACAATTAAAACGACTTATCCCATTTTTCTCGTTAGGATTTTCATTAGCACTTTTACGCACCAAGTAAGTTAACTTGGATATTTATTTGCGTCCACGAAAGTGAGTCACATAGGATTCGTTTATCATTTCACGCGCGTTATAAATTTTTAAAACCCGAAAACTTGTTTGGCTAATCCCTTTCGGACCTAAATCTCGGTGCTAAGCAAGCTCGTAACACGAGGGGTGTCACACAATTTCAACATCACCAGTTGAAGAATGTTGTTGCTCCACCAATTGTGGTTGCTCAACTTGCTGCTCCACATACTGCACATCAACAGTTTTCTTTCTTCTAGTATAAACATGCATAATGCCTGGTTTTCGCCTTGCATCCATGTTATCAATATTTCTATTTCCTTGCCTTTCATTCGCATTAGAATTATTCAGATGGACTGGAATTAGTCCACTGATAGCTTTTGTTGCCCTTGATTGATTGTCTTCCTTCTCTTGTATATGTCCATATCATCCACTGCTTCTCGATCATCCACACTCATGCTTGGATCACCAAGCTCAAACAAGGAGTTCAGATCAGTCTTCTCCCCTTAATAAGGTTCAGATTCCCGAAATGTCACATCCATACTAACAAAGAGCCTTGGTTTAGTAGGACAACAAGTATACCCTTTTTGACTTGATGAATAACCCACAAATATACACTTAATTGCTTGTGGATCCAACTTTCTCACAAACAGCCTATGATCCTTGACAAAGCAAGTGCACCCAAATACCTTCGGTGGAACAGTAAACACATTCACTCCTTGTAACATCTCATAAGGAGTTTTCCATCCAAGCAATCTAGAAGGTGTACGATTAATCAAATATACGGTACGGCCTCGCTCCATAGAAACTTAGGCACATTCATAGTATACATAAGTGAACGTGCAATCTCCAAGATATGACGATTTTTCCTTTCAGCTACTCCATTTTGTGGAGTTGTATGTTGTCTGGTGCAATATTCCATGAGCTGATAGAAAATTGCCAAACTCATTGTTCACATACTCTGTTCCATTGTCTGTCCTCAACACCTTAACTCGAGCATCATATTGAATCCCAACAAGTGAGCAAAAATTCCGAAAGCATTGAAGTACTTCACTCTTGTGTTTCATGAGATATATCCAGGTCATACGTGAATAACAATCAATAAAGGTCATAAAGTACTTCATTCCACTAATAGAGGTAACAGGGCATGTCCACACATCAGAGTGAATAAGCATAAATGGAGATAAGCTCCTTAGACCCCTGCTTACATATGTCGATCTCGTATGCTTTCCATATTCACATGCATCACACACAAGCTTTCTCCTGTCCACCTTCCTCATCATCTCTGGAAACACTTTTACCATAGTATCAAATGATAAATGGCTTAATCGACAATGTTGGAGCATCACTTTAGCTTCATCATCATTCATACTTGCTGTTAGTGCAGCGCCCAAGACCTGTCATCTTTCTTTTGGTCTAGGAACCATAGCCCACCATACCTCATGCCAATTCCAAGTTCTTTTCCTGTCTTCTTGTCCTCAATGATGCAATTTTCCCTATCAAAAGAAACCCGACAGTCCATTTGATCAACTAAAGCACTTAATGATAGTAGGTTAACTGGAAAGGAGGGGACATGCAAAACCGATGACAGTGTAATTGATGGAGAGCATTTTACTGAACCAACACCTTTAATAGGTTGGCATGATGCATCAGCTGTTTGAATAGTCTCACTATGTGTGGATGGATATGCACTGTATGATTCAAACTCACTAGATGCACCCGTGGCATGCCTAGATGCACCTGAATCAAGTATCCAATTTGCATAAGATGTACCTTTGTCAGGACGAGCGAGATTGATGAGATTGCCGAGCATAGTCGCCTTTCTATTTTCCTTTGGAAACTCGCTCCCCCTTGAGCTTCCTTGCAATTGTTCCATCTTCTCCTTCCCATTTGACTCTTCTGTAGCTGACATTAGTTCAGAAGTCCTCGCCAAAAATAATGGAGCCAGCTTTACAAGTTCCTTAGCGGTGAGGATTTCATCCAACTTCTCAAACATCTGCTCAATCCTTCCACTTTCTGTCATTGCTTAGTTGCTGCTATCACTCTAGGGAAGGGGGAAGGAGTCTAAATCTATGGACATTAAAGAACCACCATTGATGGACGTTGCATATGACACGATCAATTCGACGCAGTAGTAGCAGTATCAATTTGTTCCCTCAGTAAATCAGTGGCTTAGCACAAGCTGCAACTTCTCTCTAACATCTTCCACCAGGTAGCAAATCCGATCCCCTTTCTTTTCTCCTTCAACCTCTCATAAATCTTGTACAGTATGGACTCAATTTGAGCATCACCACACTGCACCTCCTCTTCCTCAAGCACTCAAACCTCCACTAGCTAGCAGCAGCACAACTACAGTATGCTCCAACACAGCTGCTGAAATATCAAATCCACAGAGGTGCTCCCTCACAGGACGACAACAATTTCTCCCTCATGGTGCTCTCCTTTATTTTCCCAAATCAGAAGGAAGCACCAAATCCACCCAGGATTACATCGATTGCAGTCCTGCCACTGCCAAGCAGTAAACTGCCACCAAATTTCTCTCCTATAAGCAAAACCAGCACCTTTCTTCAGTCCCTGCTCCAATCCTCCTCCTTGCCACTCCCAATCAGTACCCAACCGTAGTGACTCCCTGTCTACTCTCGAGCAAGCAAGCCACCACCAGAAACACCACTCTTTCTCTCCCTTCAATCCACAGCTCGAGCTTCCCTTCTTCCTGATGGAGGCTCGAGCTTCCCTGCTTCCTGATGCAGAGCAAGCAAGCCTGTGTTGCGCCTTTCTGCCGTTGAGGACTGCTGCCTGCAGATTGACCATCCGCCGTGGCCAACTTCCCAACACTCGAAAATCAGACTTGTGTCTGCTCTTTCTTCACTGCGCAGCAGCCTACTCCACCTCGAACTGCAGGAGTTGCTCCTAATACTCACCAATGTCTTCCAGCTTGCAGCACCACCGCTCGATTTGGAAGCTCAACTCGCCGATTCAAATCAGCTCCGCCACGGGCCCTTCTTTGCCTTCTCACGCACACGCCGTTCCCACGAACAGTACTGCAGGAGCCCTTTCTTGCCTACTCGCACGGTCTCACCACGCCGTAGTCGCTGCGACTGTCGCCGCCGACGTCGCCCAGCCAGGCTCCGACACCATGTAGAACAACGAAGTTAGGGAACTCTAGAACTCTCTCTGTCTTTCCTTTTTCACATAATAATATACATATACACCAACATACATTGTGGGCTCTAGGCCCATGGGAAACTATAGACAGCCCAACAACTGGATCTTGCTCTCAACAACTAATAGCTTGCCAGTTTCAGGAAGATGGAATAACAGGCATGGAATCTGACAGTAACCAGCACTAGAGTAAGCTGCCATGCTGATTCTTGTTGCCAATACTTGAAAAATGATGGTGCGATTCAGTTAGACCCAACGCATAATAAATTTACACAGTATGTGGGGCAGTATGTGAAATTACAAAATTCAGATTCTGAATGTTGTAAGTAGAGCAGGCAGGCCAAGCATGCCAGCAATGCTTGCACATGAAGAATCATGAACTGTGAAGTCAGCTGTTCCTCCCGTTTATTTTACTCTGGATGCAAGATTACTCACCGTCTCACAATCTTAATAAGACATTAAAGTACACACTCGTGCAGATGAGTTTGCCGCCTCTGACCTAGGCATCACATGTGGATCATAAGCTCCAGTGCAGTTAGAGATGCTTGTCATGAAGATGGCTGGTTTCGTTGCAGAAGCAGTGCATGACACAGCATTGTCAGTTTGATTCTTGTTGTCTACAAGGTCATTAGGTTAGGTCAGCAACGTCACTTCAGCTTGTATCGTTATATATAGAGGTAAAATCATAGCCAAGAACACATCGTTGAAGCAGCTTGTCTTCTATGTCCTCTTCCATTTCTAGGGAAAACAAAGCAGTACAGTTTCTACTACAACCATGGCTTGGTTGCCACCTCAGATCTGCTAGTGTGCCTTGGAGTCCTTGCTCCAATGACATGGATGTCGAGGAACAGCTGCAGGCTGCAGAGCTTGAAAGACAGCAATCTCTTTGCCTTCTTAGACCATTTGGACCACGTGCAATAGTCTGAGAAAGCTTGAGGAAGTCTACAGCACCATCAGTGTCAGTGAGCTCGTGTGCTTAACCTTCAGCCATGCTACGCAGCCGCGGAAAGCAGTAGAGCAAGAGGTCGAGAGCAATCACTGGCCGTTCTTGATTTCTGCAACGCTTATGCGCGTTGCCAAAAAGGCACATAAACAATTCAGGAAATTCAGGGTATGGGGCCGATTCTGCAATAAGCATCCACCTTTTAGAGGATCTGCTAAAATAGTCAGTTGAAAGAAAGCAGAGTTTTGATTCATTTCAAGCTGTCGATTTTGTGCACACTTCCCTAATTTCCCTTCATTTGAAGTTTGATCGAGGAAAACGGAAGCAATTTACTCTGAAGAATTATTAGCTACCACGAAATGAATTATGGGAGGTGCTAGCGTCCGAACGTCTGGGCGGATGCGCACGTCCGGACACCCACGCAGCCTGCCCTTGTCCGCTGATTTTTTTCCGCCCCGCACGCGCACCCCGCTCCGTCACAGCATCCACATATCTGGAGGACTCGCCTCGCACTTGCAGCCCGCCCTATTTGCCTCGATTCGAGGCCGTTCGTCCCACCCACACTCGCACTCCGCCCCCATCTCACCCCGACTACCGGCCTCGAGCGCACCCCGTCCGCAGGACACCAGCGTGCCCCGTGCCCCGGTGCTCGCGCCGTGCCACCATCTCACTTCCCGCTCCCCCTGACTCTCCGAACAATATAAAAGATGTGCAACATGAAACACTTGAATGCAACATATATATGCAACAGATGAAACATCTGGAACATACGCTTGCAACATATGTGTGAAACATATGCAACATCCAGATAAAACACTTGCAACTTGTAAAATGAAAACACTTTAATGCAACATAAGACTAAAACAGTTGAAACATTAGAACATATTGTTGCAACATATATGTGAAATATATGCAACATCTAGATCAAGACGTTTGCAACATACGTCTGGAACAGATGAAATATTTTGAACAAACCTCTGAAACACTTCCAACATGCCTCTGAAACACTTGCAACATGTGCAACATCCCTGATCTACATATGAACCAATTGAACATACCTCTGAAACGTCTAAAATACTTGAAACGTACGCTTACAACATGCGCTTTCCTCGCAACATCTCCTTGCTGAGGTCGCGCAACGCAGCGGCCAGACAGCAGCCACCACCTTCTGGTAGGGAACGGCGGTGTCGGCAGCACCTCGGACGCTCGCAGGGGACGGGGCGCACCTTGGAGCGAGCGCGGCTGGGGATGGAGCGCGGCGTTGGATGCGGGAGCCGCGTGACGCGAGATGGGGTACGTGGTGGGGAAGATGGCAGCAGCGAGCGCACGACACAACAACATGCGATGGGCGACAGGGCGAGAGCGATGGGGAGATATTTTAGAGAGAGATAGGAAACATAGAGAGTAAGCAGGCCTATTGGGCCGGTACGCGCAAGCCTGAAAAGCGTCGTCTGAACGGATGGACGCCCGCTCCTAAGCATTACCGATGAATTATTAGTACAGAGTTCATGTTTGTATTTGAAAATAATAAAAGATGAAATGGCCACAGACCACAGTTAATATGCACATGGAATGTGGCTCAACAACAGGCACAGGATTCTTGTAAAGTGAATTTTAATCTGCTCTAACTTATAATGTGCCAGCTTAAGCCATGACCATGAGATTTGAGCAGTTCAGCTCACAATTCATAAGTGTTCACAAGTCAAATTAATGGTGAATAACACAAAGGCCAGAAATGACAGCAACTGGCACTAGAGTATAAGCTGCCATGCATGCTTACTCATGCTGACAATGTAACAATGTGATAAGCTGCCATGCATGCTTACTCATGCAAAAGATAATCATGTATTTAAATATGATCTTGAGATTGTGCAAAACTCACACTCACATTCTTAAAGCTGTGAACACGGGTTGCACAAAGGAAATTACACTTTAGCTGATCCTGATGCAACAAGGCACCGGTTTACTATAAATCCACACGACAAGACAGACACGCAAGCAAGCTGTTTCTTAGAGCTGTTATAACTGCTTCCAGCTCAATGTTTCCCTGTAGATTTCCTGGACGGGACAGTACTTGGATAGCTCTCCGGGTGTGCCGAGTTCAAGGTGTCACGAAAGAAAACTGCAAACCTTTCCAAGCTGTACTGCTACGTATAATTTCTGGAATGGAAGACACAAAAGTGTGAACTTGTACCAAGTCCAAGCATATGTATTTCCTCCCACAAAATATATTAAAAAAAGCAAGCTTTTTATATATTATATATAAAGAAAAGGTTTGACCATGTATTAAGCAAAGAAAGCTGACCTGCACTGAATCTGGAAAAAAAAACATGTCCATTCTGTAAAGAAAGCAGACCTGTACTGAAAACTGAAAAAAAACAGCAAAGAAAGCAGACCTGTACTGAAAACTGAAAAAAAAATTTGTCAAGAATGGGATTCGAACCCATGCCCTTTCGGACCAGTACCTGAAACTGGCGCCTTAGACCAACTCGGCCATCTTGACATATGTCCATAAGTCATAATGTTTGGAATTTTTAAGGATGAAACTGCCTCATATGTACTAATACATTTTAGAGTCTAACTCTGTTATGTACCTCAACATGTGCTATACTAACTCATACGAGCGCGACTCATGAGTTCAGATCATGGATAGGATAACAACCAATTATAACTCTAATATCTAATTCATCAGGTACCCCTATTCTTAGTAAAAACGGAAGAGTGGAGGGACACAGAGACGGAAAGAGTGTGATGGATCAAAATTTAGAGAAATAAAATCTCTCCTTTTAGTATTAGGTGTAGTAGCAAATATATATGCACGTGCTATTACGCCCCGGTTAGGTTAAGTAAGGTTCCGTCCTTACCAACTTGAGAGTTTCTTGAATGTTTATGTCAATTAATGGTAAAATATTGCTAGT